AAGGAGCTTCGCTCGTCCCACCCAGAGTTGTCCCGTTCGTCGAAAGCCCCTACCTTTGCTCCTCAGGCGATCGATCCCGTCGTCGGACCCTGCCCCCAGGTTTGCGTCCACTCCTTTCTCCTACCCCGCTCCTATTGCGACGCATTGATCTGCTCTTGTTTCTTTTGCTGTGGATCTTGTCTCGATTTCCGTTTAATTGCTAAGGGTTGTATTTGTTCTGCGTAGCTTCTCGGTTCCATTTGGATTGCGCCTTTTCTTCTATGTTTCTCGTGAGGTTCATCGGGGCGGATCCTCTTGGGGAATCTCAATTAGGGTTTGGATTGTGCGGGCGTGGGGCTTTAATTTGATTAATTATGTTGATTTGAATTGTTGATTGCTCGAATTTCGATGGTGAATCACGGGAAGAAAATTCCCATTTAGAGGTTGTTTTCTTGACGTTTCGTGCTGTTTGGTCTTTTGGGTGTGACTGTGAAATCTCGTGGCTTTTGCTAAAAAGGTTCCTTTTCCTGTGTCAAATGGTTAAGTCGGGATGTGTCTGCATCTACGTTTAAATTATGGTGTTCAGGGCTCTATAAAATCATTTCTGTTTGTGATAATTTTTTGCTTGTTTGAATCATAAAGATTTGTCTATTGGTGTGTACACATGCTTCATAGTTTCGTCCAGAGTGGTTGTTAGATGCCGTTCAGCTCATTGTGCTTATATTTCCGTTCAAATTATGTGTATCCGACATAGAATCTTTACAGCTGGATATTTTGCATTTCGTAATGACCACTTAGTGTATCTGTTTATTTAACTTCACTGAATTGTTACTGATTGATGATGGCTGTGGAGTTTGATATCACAACTTATGATTTAGCATCTCTCTTTTGTTTTTCTTCTTAAATACCTTGCTTTCTCGGTGCTCATGCTTTGATGTGGAATAGTGATTGATTGACACTCATGACATGCACAATGAAGCTTTGGCAATCTATAGATGTAACCATTTAGTAAAATAATTCTGTTAAATATCTTTTAAACTTTTGCGTTTACTAGGGAAATTGGAGATTCCAATATATAGTGAACAATTAAGAAATCTTGACTCCTTATTTGTTGATGCTGTACAACTTGATTTTGAAAGAAATGACATTTTTTATGTTAGCCATTTGAATTAAAACGTACATTGTTTGTGGATTTGTCTGCTTTTTTCTCACAAATTATTCATTTCTTGTGCAAGTACTTTTAGTTCTTGATTCAAAAAGTAAAATGTGGAGAAGTATGTTCATAGAAAATAAGCATTTTTAGTTCAACATGGCTTCAAAATATCCAAAGTCCCTTTGCTCCTTTGCGAATATATTACAAAGTAGGTAGATATATGTTCGTGAAACATTCAGCATACTTAACATTATCTACATAATTGCTATCCATTTACAAAGCTGCTTATTGATCGCCTTTGGTGTAATTCATGTATGATTCTGTACATATATTTCTTTTTCTTTCTGTCCACTTATTATATCCTTTCTTTACATGAATGGGATCATTTGAAGAAAGTATCTGTCATCTTTGAGATGCAAATAGTTGTTTCTTCAAAAATTTTTGGATCTCTTCTCCAACTAGTTTATATGACCAAGGAAATGCTAAGACCCCAAATGAAAAAGAATAATGAATTATTTTTCTAAGACTTGTTTGAGCACATTGCATCAACTCTTGGACTGTCACTATAAGTGCTTCTGTGGCAATAACCAATTGCTTTGGGTATATTCTTCTTTGCTGTAAGTATTATTCCAATCCAATCATGAATCTGTGTGGATCCCAATTGTCCACAGTTCATTTTGTTTTAAATGTACAAATGCTTTGAGTTTATCTATGCATGTGTTGTGTCTGCCGGTGACTCAATTTTTCCAAACCTATTTATCCACATTTAATCTCATTCTTATCAAAAAGAATGTACCTAGTGCACGAGGCTTTCACCAACATGGGATATGCTATTTTTGTGACTCAAACCTTAAGCCTTTCCGGTCGAAAATGAACAACTTTACCATTGTACCAAAGCACGTCCTCTAATTCAGTCATTTAAATAGGGGCTTGGGCGCTCAAGCGACGCGAGGCCCGAGTGCCTCGTGTGTGGACCAGGCAGCGCGCTTCAATGAGGCACTACTAGGGTGCTCGCCCGAACCCAGGTGTTGGGCGCGTCGGGCGAGCACCCGGTTCAAATAAGGCCACCGAGCCAAACTTTTTGAGTTTGGTTCAGTTCAACAGTAGTTAGTAATGCAGTTCTTACCCTCAAAAGCCACCCTTCATGCTCGCGACCCCGAGCCAACTCTAGCATTGCTTCTACCTCCGCCGCCGACACTTTCTATCATTGCCTCCGTTGCATACACAGCAGATCGAGCCTTCCTCTATCGTTGATGGACGAGTTCGATGGCCTAGCAAGAGCCCGTAACTTCCTTCCACTATCACTCTGTTTGCAATTCCTTCCATTGTCGAGGGAGAGGACCGCAGGTTCCTCTGCCGCCACCGACGGACGCCCTCTGGAACTTCCACCGTTGCCGTTGCTGCTGTCCGCAGGTTCCGTCGTTGCCATTCTCAGCGTTGCCATAGCTGTCTTAAACTAATCCTCCACCATTACTACTGTTAGTTTCTCAACGCTATTGGTACCACTTTCCATTATCGGTTTCCACTGTCAGTGACCCTTTTATCCCCCTTTGTTATTGTTAACGATTCTTTTCTCCCCCTATAACTACTATTAACAATAAGTAATATATTGTTAACATTTGATTTTTAATTTACTGTTATATTTTTATTTAAATAATCATATTTATTTAATTATATTATATATTTTTTATATTTTAATATTTCAGAGCAACTCGCTTCGCTTGGGCGAGCGCCTAGCGCCTCAGGCGTTTTGGGACCTTGGTGTCTTTTGACGCTTAGTGCTTTGTAAATCACAACCCTAATTTTATTCTTGTTGTTAAACACAAAAAAGAAGAAATCTAAAGATGGGCCCTTGCAAAATTCTCTTTTGATTTGTGAAACAAGAAGAGGATGAATTTAAACCAATTGCCTAATGCATGAGGCTTCCGTCAATCGAGGGGTCAAGGGAGGGTCAACATATGCGGTCTTTTAGGTGCACAAAGACGTGTTGTTTTTATAACCTAGCTTGTGAAGAAGAAACCCTTATCGTAACTTGAGTTGGTCATCCAAGTCTCCTTGGACTTGTTTCATCTTTAAATGACTTTGTCGGTTATGATAAGGTAGGAAATTGTTAGGACCGTTTCAGTACTAAGAGGGGAGGGGTTAATTAGTGCTTTCGTAAAAATTATGTTGATTCAAAATTTTCGTTCGATAAAGGTCGTATCGAAAATGAGTTTAACTTGAAATGTTCGTAAAGTAATTTTGTTTGATAAAGGTCATATCGGAAATGAGTTTAACTTAAAACGTTTGTAAAGTAGTGAGCAAGTAAATTAGTTAGTAATGAGAATGAAAAGCAGAATAAAAATGCAAACCGAGTTTATAGTGGTTTGGTCGTCGCAACCTACGCTCACTCCCGATTCATCTTCCATCGAGGCCACCGACGTTCACTAACGATCTTCTTTCAATGGGCGAATATCAACTACCCTCTTACAACTCTTTTTCCTTTTCATAGGTTTAGGAGATAACCTTTACAAGTCTCATACCTCTCTTAGAATGATCACATATCTTTGAGGAGGAGAAGGACATTTAGCACTTTTTCACAACTTCACAAGACTTTTTGTTCTCTTTTTGTGCTTTTTCAAGCAGGAAAGAGGGGGGTATTTATAGACCTCGAATGACTTAAAAAATGGAGCCAAAATATGTCTCATCCTCGATTTCAGGGGTATTGGTGGTACCACCCCCTGCACCCCTGACAACTAGCGATACCATCGCCTAACACTAGCGGTACCACCGTCGTGTCTTTCGAAAAAAGTACATTTCGTACTTTTCCAGCTTATAGGCGGTTCGATTGCCTGGTCTGGCGGTGCCACTGCTTGACCTAACCCTGGGTCACTGAATGGGCCTCCCAATGAGCCCAACTCAGCCCCAGATCAGGCCCAAAGGGCCCCTAATTGAGTTAGTAGGGTTACACCTAAAACTAACTCAATTTATGACCTAACTACGACAATTAAGACCTAACTATGACAATTAAGACTTCAACAATTTTGAGACACGAAATCTAAGTTGTTGAGCATGTCATTTGTTCATCCGAACTCCTGGCGAACTTCCGGTGCATCGTCCGAACCTTCGGCGTATCGCCCGACCCATCGGCATGTTGACTCTCGCAATGTTCGATCTTGGCACAACGTCCGATTATTTCGTTCCGATGCCTGATCTCTGACTCTGGCCCAATGTCTGATTCTACTGCTATAATTGTTTCACCTTTTCATGATCAAAATTAGTCCTACATTACTTTTCTCAATGCACAGATTAGATCGTAAACTCATCAATTGATTTCATCAGTAAAATCCGGGATTCAACAGAAACTTGTTGAGCAGTACTTACAGCAGGACATTGTGTTCTACTTTTTCTTTATATGCTATGTAAAAGATGCCCTATTGTAGCAATACATCTTGCCCTTATTCTCTATCTCATGTGGATTAAAGAGTTGTATTGTGATTGTGAAAGAGAATGGGTGACTGTATCATTCTTTCTTTTTTGTGTTGTGTTGTCTTTTTGGATGCACTCACTTCACTCTAATTTTTTTATATATGGTTGAACATTTGGTTGATATCCTTTCCTGTTCCTCTGTCAGGGTCCTTGTAGTGCTAAGTGATTGAATCATTTGAGGGTGGCCCAGTTATTAAGCAAATTATCCCTATTCTTTTTGCAGGAAGTTTACAGTGGTTAAAATCATTAGGAATGTCGCCAGCATCCAAATCTAAATCAAAGGACAAATTGTCCACCAAGGCAGCCAAGGAACAAGCAAAAGTTTCTTTAAAAACCTCTGCTGCTCCTCATAACTATGGAAATGGTGCTCCTTCAAGTGCATACAATCCAGATTTAGGGACATTCCATGCTTTTGATACAATGATCTCTGGTTCCTTGACAACAGGCCAACACAACGGATGTTTTAGGATCATAGATGAAACAGAGGAGCATTCTTGTAGTTCATTTGGTACAGCGGGTGACTCTGACTCAATGTCTAACCATAATAGCTATTCTGGTGAGTCAGAGGATCAGAAGGAGAAAATTACAACTAGTAATGCAGCTCGCATAGAACCTGTAACCAGTTGTGATACTGACAAGCGTGAGAAGATTCGACAGAAAAATGAGAGAAAGCATCAACGTCAAAAGGAGAGACGGGCACAGGAGCTACACGAGCGTTGTAGTGGGTACCTCATGTCTAGGAAACTAGAGATGCTTGCTCAGAAACTAGTAGCAATGGGCTTCTCTTCTGAACAAGCAACAATGGCGCTTATTCAAAATGAAGGACGTGTTGAAGAGTCCATTGCTTGGCTCCTTGAAGGTGGGGAAGAGAGTAAACAGCAAACCGCTGTGAACATAGATGGTGGTGTCAACTTGAAAATTGACATCACCATGGAGCTTGCAAAAATTTCAGATTTGGAGGTGAAGTTCAAGTACACGAAGCAGGAGGTTGAAAGGGCTGTAGTTGCATCGGAGGGTGACTTGGAAAAGGCTGAAGAGACTTTAAAGGCACATAAACAAGAATCAAAAGCACTTCCATCAAAGTTGGAAGAGTCAAGTGACCCTGTCATAGCAAGTGGTCTCGACAATAAAACCATAATTTCTGTCCAAAATGCAGCTTTAAGACCCCAGCAGAAGGAAGTGGCTTCGTTTCGCACTAAGCAACAGAGAAGAGGTGAGCGAGATCTAAACCATATCATAGCAGTGCCTGCGGGAGCTGTGGAGTCCTCAAATAAGAATTTGCAGTCTTTGAGAAAAATACAGCCTAAGGCGGACTGGGGAAAACCACAAGTTGCTGCCCCGATGGAGAAAAGGTGGCCGAGTACGACCTCTGCTCCATCAATTTCAATCTCTTTGCCCTCTTTGCAGGTAGCCGCACCTCCAACTAATCAATGCGCAATGGC